TATTAGCGATTACTTCTAGCTTCATTTAGAACGTAAACGCAGTCTTGCTAGACTTGCACTGATTCACCTAAGAATAAGTCATAAAACAGAAAAAAAAAAATGAACCCCAGAATTCCAAATTTGGCGAAAAACATTTTTATACGTTTCTGAAAAGATACTTAGAAGTGACTTACGCTGATTCACCTACGAATAAGTCATAAAACAACAAACAAAATAAACCCCAAAATTCCAAATTTGGCAAAAGAAAAAAAAAATAAATTATTCTTCGCCGCACCAAATAATAAATTTGCTACGCGAATCGTTCAAAATCCCGCACACTTCAATCTTTAATACCATGTTCGCCAGAGTCAATCACCGATCCGCGTGTGAACCGCGAAAACGGCAATAACCCGGACATTCCTCCGGCAAGCAGAAACACTTGTTTCACCGCGGTGACTATGCTCGTCCCGGACAAAAACCGGCTATTGTCTTCCGTCCCGAGCAAACGAATAAACCAATAGATAACTGTTCGCCGTCGGGGGTATTCAATTTCGACGGAGGAAGCGTGCACACCGCCGGCTCGTTAGCTGAGAGAAGAGCGACGCGCCCGATGGGGAAAAACGAAAGAAACCCAGCAACGGGACGTTTGGTCGAGGTGAAAACCGTAGAAAACGTGCAAACACGCGGGCCTGGCTACGTGGGAGCATGGCCGAGGAAGCCTGGACGAAAACGTTGGGGAAAAAGAGAAGAGAAAAACAGCTGTTCGTTGGGAAAAGCCATAAGCTTCGAACGCAAATGAACGAACCACGATAATTGACGCGGCAAATGAAAACCAACGCTTGTTTGCATTTCAACGTGGACACTTCTCCGCTGAATTGTGCAACACCACCGGTTCTCGATACCGATAATCATATTAGGTTGTCCGGAAATAAATTGCGGTTTTCTGTTATGTCATATTTACGGCTTTTCTATACTATATATTTTAAATTTATGTTTATTAAGTGATATACCATTTGAAAGCGTAGATGTCGCTCTAAGCGATACACTTTTGCTTTTTACCGTCATTTGTTCTGAGTATAACTTAAAAACGTAACAATGGACAAGAAGCAAATTCGTACCATATTTTTATACGAATTTAAATTAAGACGTAAACCCGCGGAAACTGGCCGCAATATCAATCATGTGTTCGGTGAAAGCGCAACTAACGATTGTAATGCATAAAAAGTTATTTGTTGAATAAGCAAGTTTGGTAAATCGTAAGGGACCAATACTCCTACACGATAACGCCCGCCCGAATACACGAATTGGATTATGAAACATTAAAACACCCTCCTTATTCCGCCAACTTGTCCCCTACAGATTACCATTTTTTTCAACATTTCGCTAACTTTTTGCAGGAAAAATCTTCCGCAACAAAGAGGATGCTGTAAATACCTTTGTGGAATTTATTCATTCCAGAACTCCTGATTTTTATTGTAACGGAATAGGAACTCTCGTGAAACGTTGGAAAAATTGCATAGAATCTAATGGAAATCATTTCGATTAAACGAATTCATTCTAAGCAAAACTACACGTCCTTAAATCTCACGCACAGAAACCGCAATTTATTTCCGGACAACCTAATAGTTCTTTCTTTATGAGCCGAATTGATTCCATTTAAAACAACTTTGAATAGACATGAGTTGACTTTTCGAAATTTTTAAATTAACATAGATACGTTTTTGGTTAATTACCGTTTTCTAAATGGACACACTGTATGCAAAGTAGGTAAAGTAGAAATTGCGAAAGAAGATAAAAATGTACACTTTTGTTGAAGTTGTGTTTGCAGACGAGGATAATCTGTTTGTACAATCTACAACTTAGTTTGCCTAAGCCTGGAAAGAATATAGAAAAGATTATTTCTAACGTCCTTTCTAGGAATACTAAATTTCTCCGAGATTTCAGTTAACCCTTTCTGTTCGATCTATTCTAATTTCAGAGGAAAAATAAAATTCGTTCGGTCCCGATCTTCTGGTAGATTTCAATATGTTACTGCGAAAACAGTGATAGGAAATAATTTCAAAAGGGTTAATCGAGTTAAAGCAATCCGGACAGTGCTCGGGTAATATTTTGGAAATTGACGAATGTTTGTAATTCTAGGGCTGAAGAAGCAAGTGTCCGCGGAAAATCGATGGGAAATGGCTGGTTGATTAATGAATTGGATGCTCAGTTGGAACGACATCCAACGAGGGCTTGTTAAATGGTATTTCGCGACCAAGTAATGAACTGTAGGCTAGTTGATTAATGACTGCATGTGTACGAAATATAGTTATGGTTTCGACGAGTTCGAAAATATTATTATGTCGGAGAAGTTTGTCTAATGTTCTTCTTCTTTTATTTCGCTTTTTTTTTTTCATTTAGTTAATAGTATCGATCACCGTTGTCTGGCAAAGTGGTTTCTAGTTTCTGTCCTGTCAATTAGGTGTCGAAACTTGGTAAAAGCGATCCGACGAAATAGTCAACCTGCGGTTCGCTATTGATAACGCTTTCAAGAATCCAGTTTTAATTTATTGCATAATTCTGACGCAATTTCTCTTCACGAACCGACGACGCGATCGTAATGGCACAGACCGCGGTTTAACCGAAATAACAGAGAGACTCGTTCTTCAATCTAGCTAGACATCGTCGAATGAATTAACGAATCGGTTTTGTTTTTTTTTTTTTTGCTTTTTCTTGCATTTCAGAAATAACCGCTGAACTGTCAGTTTGTTAAAAGCACTTCCAGTTATCGAAGAGGTTTAATAGATAAATAAACTCGATTCAAAGGCAGATTACTCGTTATCACGTAGATAAGAGTTTCTCAGACTACTTCAGAGGACTTTCACCTTTCGAGCACGGAAAATGGGGTATCTTTGAGATTTTTTTGTCAAGAGACTGGTTAGCCGATCAATTTCAAACTTCGTAAATGTATTTATTATACTTCGAGGGAAGCGTGGGAAAAAATTCGTGAAAAAATATTAATGGTAATTGTGATAAAAATATTAATTTCGACATAACAATTTTGTCAATTATTCGAAATTTGATCAAATTTCGACGTGTAAGCTTTCTCAGTGTAGAAAAATATTCGAAATGTTTTTTGACGCAGCTTGGTGCATCTAAAGCTTAGGCTGTCGTAGAACCGTCAAATTTTAACTTAGGTTGTCATAGAACCGTCAAATTTTAACTTGGGCTATCATAGGACTCTCAGATTTTAACTTAGGCTGTCATAGGACTCTCAGATTTTAACTTAGGCTGTCATAGAACTCTCAGATTTTAACTTAGGCTGTCATAGAACTCTCAGATTTTAACTTAGGCTGTCATAGAACTCTCAGATTTTAACTTAGGCTGTCATAGAACCGTCAAATTTTAACTTAGGCTATCATAGAACTCTCAGATTTTAACTTAGGCTATCATAGAACTCTCAGATTTTAACTTAGGCTGTCATAAAACTCTCAGATTTTAACTTAGACTGTCATAGAACTCTCAGATTTTAACTTAGGCTATCATAGAACCGTGAAATTTTAACTTAGGCTATCATAGAACTCTCAGATTTTAACTTAGGCTACCACAGAACCCTCAGATTTTCAGATTTCATTGTAACATTCTCAATTAATATTTTCCAGACGTAACACTATGCTATCATAGAACCGTGAAATTTTAACTTAGGCTATCATAGAACTCTCAAATTTTAACTTAGGCTACCACAGAACCCTCAGATTTTCAGATTTCATTGTAACATTCTCAATTAATATTTTCCAGACGTAACACTATCGGAAAATCGGTTTGTTGATCATCTCGAAAGGTGAAAGACCTCATAAAAGTAAAACTTTCGATGATAGAAGAACCGAGAAAGTTCATTGTTTCTTACGATTGTGGTTTCCCGATGAAATTATAGGTGCGAATGCTCTGGATGCGACAGAGAGGCGAGAAAAGCGTCTATCCGTAACTGGCTTTACAATTCCGTTGCCCCCCGGGTGAAACAAGACACAATGAAACCGAAAGTATCCCACAGGAGGTTGTAACTCTGCCTCTTGACTAATTTGTTTCGCGGAACGGATCGACGAAACCTGTTCTTCACCCCATCGGTATCGAGAATGCACCGTGTGGTACGAAAAGAGCAAATGTTTCGTGAACGTGGCCGGATTATCGAGCTCGAGTACCATTTGGTGTTTGGCGAGTCAATTGAGCGGAGTTGCCGTTCGATTTCATTTAAATGTACTTTCGTTGCATTCAGACACAGATTTCGTCGTTCTACGATTAGCAATTTTGGGAAAATAAATATTTCGACTTTTGTTTTTTATTCTACGCGACGAAATATACCTGCTGTGAGTCAAATTTTCAAGAGTAATTCTGACCACTCTCTTGATAATGTAGAAATTATATTCTATATTTTGAAAAATATTTCACAAATAATGTAGAAATATGAAAATATTAAAATTCTACGCTACGAAATATGCTTCGGGTAAAATTATCAAATGTAATTTTGAGCACTCTCGCTATCTGCAAGTTAGCTTGATAATGTAGAAATTATATTTTATATTTTGGAAAATCTTTCACAAAAATATTCAAATATTTGTCGAAAGTGGACAGAAAATTCTTCGACGACTCCACCAAGGAACAAATTAAAATTCCTTCAAATTATCGTTGCAAGTAAAAAGTCGCGCATGAAAGGATATAATTAAGGTTGGACACTACTCGATTTTCAATTTGCCCTCGATACACAAATTCTGCTTCGATCTTGCTCTCGATTTAATTCAACATTTTAATTGAACCACCTCTCTATAATTAGTCGAATCTTGATTGCAGAGTATCCGGTGAACAAATACATACAATATACACACACGAATGAAAAACATGTCTGGATTCTGATCGGAAAGTCATCCGACTGGAATTATACTTTGATCGGAATTTTTCTGCGGTAAAAGGTTACAAGACAAGCGCATGCGGTTTTAACGAAGGAAACAAGATAGCGTAACAGCTGGTAAAAGTTCAAAACGACTTACCCTTCGTGGCTCTCGGATTACTCCAAGTCGACTGGCAGGCCTTCTCCATGATTACTTTCGCGCTGTACGTTACATGACGTTAATAACACGTTAATGCGGCTCTCACATCAACACTCGGTTAATTTCCACACTCTGTTAGTAGGGAATCATCTTCTCGTTTCTTTTTCCTCTTATCTGAAAAATTTCAAGAGACCCCCGTCAGGCATCTCCGAACTCCTCTTCCTCTATTTCCCATTGTTTCTCGTATTTTAAACGACAATTCTCTTTGTAACACTACGGTTTCAATTGCGAATTAAAGTTTTCTTGAAAATAACATTTTTCAAATTTAATTTTAATTACGACTTGCTTTGTGTTAACATTTTGTAACGTGTTTTAGTGCAATATTGGGGAATTTAAATATTCTTAGAAAATGTACGTTTGCTTAAGAATAATATTCTTCAAATTCTAAATTTACCTTCATTTTTATAATTAATATTCTAGAATTTTAATTACGACTTGCTTTGTGTTAACATTTTGAAACGTGTTTTAGTGCAATATTGGGGAATTTAAATATTCTTAGAAAATGTACGTTTGCTTAAGAATAATATTCTTCAAATTCTAAATTTACCTTCATTTTTATAATTAATATTCTAGAATTTTAATTACGACTTGCTTTGTGTTAACATTTTGAAACGTGTTTTAGTGCAATATTGGGGAATTTAAATATTCTTAGAAAATGTACGTTTGCTTAAGAATAATATTCTTCAAATTCTAAATTTACCTTCATTTTTATAATTAATATTCTAGAATTTTAATTACGATTCGTTTTCTGCTAATATTTTGCAAAGTGTTTTAGTGCAATATTGGGGAATTTAAATATTTAAAAAAATGAACGTTTGCTTAAAAATAATATTCTTCAAATTCTAAATTCACCGTTCATCCTTACGAAAAATATTCTAGAATTTTTAATTACAATTCGCTTCGCGCTGATATTTTCTAGCGTTTCAGCGCAATATCGGGGAATGTAAATATTTAAAAAAATGTACGGAGAAGTTCGAACAGAAAAAAAATCTTGATTGGTCCCCTCTATAAACTATCTCTACACGTAATGACAGGATTTTCAGTGAAAACGAAGGCTAAAGGGATGGAGGTACGCGAGATCGATGAAATATGCAGAAACAGAACGTGTACGGTGGATTAATCGAGCGATCGCCACTGTGAAAAATAGGTCGTGCAGTGGTGGTGAATTAAAACGAAAATTCGAAGGGGTGAGTAGAGGTGAAACTTGGACGATAACGTGAAATCGATCGGTTTTCGAAGAGGGGGGGAAAAAAATGGAAGGAATAAATGAAGGTGAAAAATCTGGATCGCTATATACGCCGTTGCGAATGCTTTTAACGGATACAAAACGATCTCCGTCGATCATAAAAACCGAGCTCGATAAATTTTGCCAATAAAAAGCAGCAGCCAAGAGGCTAACTTGTGCTTCGTGTTTTTGCTGCTCGACAAGACGTAACGTGCGACATTATGTTGGATAAAAAAATGAAATTACAAAGGGAATGTATTTGAATAAAATTGATTTCATTTCTATGATAATTTGTATAATCTTGCAAAGTGTAGGAAAACGCAGAATTGACTCAATACTGGAAAATTTCAAACAATTAGAAGAACGAGAGAACAATTTTTTCGGCAATTTAGTGTACAAAATTTCAACCCTAGAGAGAGAGAATGAAATTCATTTCATTTTGATAATTATTTAAAAACAAATACAAAATTAACTTAACATTGAAAAATTTCAAAAAATAGGAGGCACGAAATGATAATTTTTTGGTCAATTTACTGCAAAATATTTCAACCCCAGAAATAGAGAATAAAATTGAATTGATTTCAATAATTATCTGAAAAAAACGCAGAATCAACTTAACACGGAAAAGTTTCAAAAATGAAAAGGCACAAAGTGACAATTTCTTCGTCGATCTAGCGTACCAAAATTTGAAGTCCACAGAAAGTCGACAGATTGGACTGCAAATTGAATTAAAAATCTTTTAAAAAAAGGTAATCAAGCAAAACAGAGAAGTTGTTTAAACATTCGCATCGGCTAAAATCGAACGAGCTCGTCGATAACCGTCGACGAAGGAGAAAAAGAAAGAAAGAAACACAGCGGTTCCCTAATAAAGAATTGAAATACGAGGCTAGATAAACAGGTGTAAAAGATAAGTAGGGAAGGAGGGAATGGGTCTGCTCGAACGTTTATTGCCGCGATACATATCCAGAAACGCATTTGGAAGGACGTATTTTTCCGCGGAATATTGCACCAAAGAAGATTATTCGTATTCTTTGTCGCTAACTACCAAGAAATACGAGTGAACACGTACAAAGGATTGGAGCCGGGGCGATAACGAGTGATTACACCTGCGCTACATTACTCCATAAGTATTCCTCGCGATTTGCCTCGGTTTGCGAGTAATAAAACAAAAAAGGAAACGAGTGGGTGGCAAGTGTAACGTTATTCTTATCGCGACTGTTATCGCGAATATAATTAAAGCAGATATATTTGTATTTAACGTTCGAAGAACGACGTTGTTAGATACCGATGTTTAGTAATTTAAATAAAAAAATAACAATTTTATTTGACTAAATTTTCTACGCGAAATGTTCTGAAGCACTTAGTTTCTAGATTCTAGGTTAGGTCGCGGCGATTCTTCTACTACGCGCGGGATGTTTAACTGGTTGCTTTTATTAAGGTTCCATTGGCAATGGGTTATTGAAATCAAATAGTCTTTGTAACTGCTAATCTTCTGTTTATTATTCGACTGAGAGGAAACGTCTTTACTAGAGAATTTATCTCGAGATCGGGTCGGGTTCCCGAAAGTATCTCGAAAATTTCGGGACTCCCGAAAGTAGAACGAAGCTATTATCGGAGAACGTTGAAAAACTAGCTTTTCTACGCGAAAATATGAAATAAATCATATCTATCACATATTTGCTCACCATTTTCGTTCCATGTTCTATTTCTTATAATTTTACAATTCTCGGGAATCCCGAAATTCTCGAATTCTGAGATATTTTCGGGACCCGACCCGAGCATCGACATTTTCGAGTTCTCGCACACCCCTGGTCTTTACTCTTTCAAATGCTCTATCGAACTGTCTCTGGACACCCGAAAAGGGAAGCTGAGGTCCGCTTATACCTAGGAACTGTTTACCCTATTGTATCGCAGGGTGCAGTGTGCAGACTCGAAGACGAACACCAGGCACATCTGGTGGAAGTCTTAGTGTCTTTGTCTAAAAGAACGCGGAGACATTTTGGTCCTCGCTTGATTATTTCTGCAGGGTGTTGGTTGAAATAATCCAACAGGTTCGTATGTCTTATTTTGGGACTTGACGAGTATGACTCGGGGTTGATAGATAACAAAGTATGACTCGGGGTAAAGCGTATGAGTAATTGTGTAAAAGGATAATTGTTAGGGGTTATTAGGCGGTGGATATGAAATGTGTCTATCTTATTTGTTAAGGTTAGAGCGGTATCTAACGATGGTAAAACAGATTGAATATCAAAGCTATTTTTATATAAAACTTGAAATTTCTCTGAAGAGAGATAAGCAATTTTGAATTGATTTGAATAATTGTTTATTCGTAAAATTAGCATAGATAAGATTAATTCAGACGTTTCTTTTATTCGGTGTTTGAAGAATGATAGCGTGAGAAAGTCAAGGTTAACGTTATCTTTGTATAAAATTTGAAATTTTTCAGAAGAAAGATTCGGCAATTTTAGATTAACTTAGGATTCGTAGAATTACATAGAGTATTGTACGAGTAAATGAATGGAAATTCTGTTTGATATTTGAATTTTAAACGGATGAAGTGGAAAATATTGAAATATTCATTGCAAAAATAAGACGTGATAGTAAAAATAGCCCGATCTCGAAGAACTGGCGTCAGGAATAGAAACACGAAAGCGATCTAATTTCCCGACTTTTTCATCCGCGCCAATTTCATCGTCGTAGGCTAGAAATACCAAACAGCTCGGCTGACAGACCGCGTAAACGTTCTCCAGTCGGAAATTGTTATAAAAGAGATTCAAGGTTTAGAAACATCTCGAGTTCCAACGTTTTGCTTCTGGTTTATTAAACAATTCAACACTTCCTTGATTCCTCCATCAATTGTAGAAGCGTTTGAATCATTTGTCCGCACAGTGACGATTTTTAAGCTTGCATAAAACGACGGAAAATAATGGAAATAAAATTCTAATTGAAATTAGAAATTCGAGAGATTTCGAATTAAAATTCGAAAGGTAATTGGAAATCCGGGAAAACTCGAATTAAAACTCGAATGAAGTTAGA